TAGAAATTAATGGGTGAATTCAGATTTTCGCTAATCACGTGCTTACAAAATAAGCATTAAGAAAAGAAAATAATTTCAACATCAATTGCCAGTTATTGAATTAGCATGCTGAAGTTAGCATTCATGGGCGATTAAATCAGGTGTAAGTGGCTTAATGGCCTACGATCTTGCTAGCCTTGTGACCAGAAGGTCCTGGATTCAAACCCCTCTAGTGGGTGCGTACTGAGGAAGAGTCCCAAACTAGGACGAAACAGCTAACTATCTAGTACTCCCAGGATTTTTCCAATGGTTCTCTAACCAATGTCAGCTCACATGATGAAATCCTGTAAGCAGTCAACCGAATCCCTACAAACCAATGTACTTGAATATCAATGAGATGCTCACTGGCGACTGGCCCTCTCCATGTAGGTAGTTACCTGGGGTTCTGGTGGAAAGTCGTGACCAATAGGGTGTAACCGGGGTCCGGTGTGAGGACAAATACTCGCCGAAGACATTGGCTAGCGGTCGCGCTATATCGTGAATCGGCAGAAGTTAGAATTCATGGGTTGGCCATTGGATCGTGTCCCAGTGGCTTAATGGTCTACGAGCTCACTAACCTTGTAACCAGAAGGTCCTGGGTTCAAACCCAAGTAGTGGGTGCCTACTACTAAAGATTCCTAAACGAGGACGGAGAAAATAACTGTCCAGAACTCCTTGTTGTTTTTCCAATGGTTCACTATCTGATGTCAGCTCATGATGAAAACCCGGTAACCAATCAACCAAAATCCCTACGAACCAATACTTGAATTATTGTTCTGTAGGTGAAATTATCAAGTGTTACTATGCTGGGATTTGATTGATGCTGCTTACAGATTTGATCAGGAAATGATATCGATTAGAGTATCATTGAAAAGTCAGGAACTACTGGACAGCATTTTCATCCTGGTTTGGGTCTCTTCATCAGTATATATCAGTGACATTCACGAAGACAACTAGATTACATGATGAGGTCACAAGCCAATCAGTCACTGGGACCTGAATCAGTGGCCGGTGAATTCAAACCCCCAGCCTTCGTCAGAGGTAATACTGCTCTCTTACCTGACTTGACGGACCCTTCTTGTGTTCGAACCTCGGTAGGTACAAACAGCAGAAGATTCTAAGAATAGGAAGAAAAGCTAACCAGCAATTCGGTGTATTCCAATGGTGATCAAATCTGCGATTGAAATTAGTCACAAATGGGAAAGAAGACTTTGTCGAAAGGCAAGTTTCTACAGAAGAACGACTACATTTTTTGTTCCATGAATGTCTTCGCCAAGAATTTCAACCATCCAGAGTCAAATATAAAGCACCAATTAACTGTCCTCTGGCGTAAACAACTAGTCATGACTCTGATTGCTAGGAGATACAATGACATTATTCACGAGAAAAGATGTCATCTGGATGAGGGAAAACAAACGCTTGGCAATTAAATCAATCAGTTTCTTAGAGAACACAATCAATTCAATATCGTCTATCTGAGCTACAAATCTTCTATATTATTTCAAAAGTTTTATAAAATTTGTAGATCATCTTTGAACAAAGAAATAATGCAAAAATTTCAATTGACTTACTCCTAATGTCTAATGTGAATAGATCAGCTGACTGAACAGCTCAAAAACCGTTCACTAAATATAAAATGACGCAAACCAAATCAAATGACCCAAAAAATCACCTTGAACAGACGCTCATAACTTTCAAATGAAATCAGAGTGAATGGTTTGCGGTGTTATATAAATATATATATATATATATATATATATATATTAGTATACAATTCGTGGATGGTGGCTAGCAGTGGAATCCAGGATAAAGCGCATTTCGTCCTATTTGGGACTCGTCAGCTGGATGTACCTGCATTTCTCAGTGAGTGATGATGTTCCCACCGAGGCTCGAACTCAGTACCCATAGTTTCAAATGCCAAAGCGTTATCCACTAGACCACTTGGGCCACGAGAGCCACCTCTTGTGCAACGGGTCATATTAATTATTGAATTGAATCTTCGGTTTTCCCGTCGATTGATTGGACGGGAAAACCAAAGATTCAATTCAATTTATATATATATATATATATTTACCCAAAAGAAGTTAGTTGTGAGGTTTCTCTCCACTTGTCCTTATGTATGATAATTCTGGGTCTAACTAGATGCTGAATAATCCGTAATAAGACAGCAGAGCTCCTGTTCTCAATATTTTTGCGATGAATTCTTTTCATTCTTCTTGTATCCAAGTACCTAAATACGATTGGCTATTCGATAACGGCGACTGGTATTTGCGTCTAGTGTTAAAGCCACTTCATTTTATTTGAACAAAATCACCTGATCCAGTAGGAACAGTTGTTATTGTATTCACGTTAGTGGAGGCGGTAAATCTTTCCTACTTCCTATACTAGACGACGAGGAGAACGGCAACGTACTCATACATAACAACCCTATTGACAGAGTAGGAATACTATCTGTTATTCAAAATAATTTGGTAGATTTCCCTCTACTGTTGTGAAATGTTTCCTACAATGACCCAGATAGGTCATACTGATAGACGTTACTATGAAGTATTATTATGAGTAGTTTTAATTCATGTGTAGTCGATTTCCAACCCAGCAGACGAATGCTAATTTACCAGCCAACTAACCTAAGAGTTCTCTTTATATATCTGATGAAATCATGACTGCGCACCACTAATGATTCATAGACTAGAATAAGAAAAACGATGTTTGATTTTCAAGGGTTTATTTGAATGATTCCGATTGGTGACAGAATCAAGGTTGAGACATACTACTATCATTCCTTTTGATTTTTCGAGCAGAACAAAAGCTCCAGAAAAACACCAACATCTCAGTGTGACCTATGCAGATTCCTCTACTTGGTTCCACCACTAAACATAAACTATCACTACCTCCTCACATGAGCTCCTCTTTATTACGAGTGAACCCATACACAGCTCGTCGTTTCTCAGCCAAATTCCACACAAGGGACTGACAAGTGATGTCACTCAACAGTCTAAATATATCCAATCTAAGAGTATTTTCTTTGGTATATTTGTTGAGCAGTGAATTCTTAGGTGGTTCCCTGCTTTACAGAGTTCCTATTCACTTATTCTATCTAGCTATCTGATCTTCAGTGTGAAGCAAACACAGTTTTTGATGTAATCCGCAGCAGGAAGTTGTGAATGCTTCCGGTGACAAGCCAAGTCTTTGAACTAAATAGAAGGTAGTTGTCGACTTTACCTTAGTATTCAAGATCTGAATTTGGTATTTTACACTGAGTAAAGTAGATTTGAGAGCACGGAGGGTCTGTCTTACACTTAGTTTCTCTATTTAGATGCTTCATTGTTTCCTATGATCAATGGTGTCTTTTAAACTAGTTAGTAAGCTTTTCTATCATATTCTTGCCTAAATAAAACTCTATTAACTACTGTTATAACAACAAGAGACATGGACACAAAGATATCTTTTCCACTGATGAAACAGCTGTTTATATAAATATACAGTTTACATTCTTTAACCCTTCACTGAGCGTGTGACTTCGGTTAACATGAAACGATATGAAGTAAAAATGTCCAAATATAAATAGTATTCTGTTGCTAATACCGAATTGAACTGTGGGATGGTGTGAGAATAATATTGTGTTTGCACATTTTGTCTGTGTCACAACACCATACTCATCCTCCCATCAAATAATTTAGACTGAAGTCGGTTCGGTCTTCTCGGTGCTGGTGGCTTTGTTAGCTTGTCTTGCTGTATAGAGTTCCGGAGCTCGCTGATGTTCACCCACTACTCTTTGTTAGCATTTCTGACCGTATATACGTGGCCCCGTCTCACGGTGACCCTGTATGTCCGTTCTCGTAGTTTGCATGACCCTGGTACGTCATTCGCTGGTATTTTGCTTCACACTATCATATGCTACTTTCGCCCGAATTCCCAGCAGTGTTCAAAGTGACAGCCTTATCACTAACAGATCTTGAACGCCATTCAACTGCACAACAGCCTCGAAGTTCTTCCCAAAGATCCATAAATCTCCTGCAAAAACTGCAGGCATAGGCTTCCTATTTGTTGGCAGGCAGCGACACCAAATATTTCAGCAAAATGCAGGACACGGAAGCCAAGGTATATTTCCCATTGACCAAACCGCTGTTTATATTCCCTAACCAATCACTGAGCGTACGAAAGTCAAACGACATGATGTAAAATGTTCAAATACATTTATAGTATTCTGTTGCTAATGTAGCATTGGCAAGCATTGTCTGTATCACACCATCACACTATAAAGAAGCAAGACATGGGTCAACTATGAAGTGCGTAATTAGGGGAATCTCTCACACCACTATTAAAAGTGATGTTGAACTTTTTTATTTATTTATTTATTTAATTTTGATTACAGCTTGATGCCACACCGTATTTTTGGTACAAGTATGGAATTTTCAGCATGTGATATCGGTAGCCCAAATGTTGCCGGCAGACCATAGATATCGGGTGTGCGTTAGCAGGGGATCGAACCCTTGACCATAAGCATGGTCGACGAGAGTCTTAACCACTGTACCACCGACACGCATTGTTATATTGGATAATGAACTCGAGTGGTACGCTAATACGTCTATTCGTCTGATGTACCTTCCGAATCACTGAACCAAGCAAATAACAAAAGATAAAGGCTGGCCTGTCTGACTGTTTATTTATTATGCAAACAACATATTATATTTATACGCTTTCTTTACCACAATAACCGTGATAAATGAGTAATGATCACAAAATCAATCACAAAATGCATGAGTTAAGTTGATATACTATTTTACGCTAGTTCCTATCATAACTAGCTACTCTAAGCAGAGAAATTGCCAACATTCAAGGAACATTAAGTTTTATGTTCCTCTAGATTATTGACGAATTATCCTCATTTTTATGTTCCATCAAGTTTGCTTACAACAAAAAAGATTTTATAGTGCTTACACGACTCAGTATTGTTGTTATTTTTATTATTTTCCTAATAGCTTATGAATTATTTTGGACAAAACAAAAGTTTATTATGTCCTCTGTGCAAATTTCAAGTTTAGTACTCATTACTATTGCTTGCCTGTTGAATGCTTTTCCAACGAGTTGGCAAAAGGTAAAAACCGTTTTTTCTTTGGTCACTTATTTTGTTCCAATACTTTTTGAAATTATTTTTTATTACTTTCAAGTGTTGGTTTGTAGGGATTTGGTTGATTTCATGGAGGATTTAATCATGAGCTGACATCAGTTAGAGAACCACTGGAAAACCTGGGAGTACTGGACAGCTGTTTCCTCCGTCCTAGTTTGGGACTCTTCAGCAGTACTCACCCACCGGGATTCGAACCCAGGACCTTCCACTGGGACCCGATCCAATGGCCCATGAATTCTAACTTCTGCTAATTCACGATATAGCGCAACCTCTAGCCAATGTCTTCGGTGAGTATTTGTCCTCACACAGGACCCGGTTACACCCTACTGGTCACGACTTTCCACCAGAACCCCAGGTAACTACCTACTTGAATAGGTAAAGTGTAAAGTGTACTCTGAGTACGATTCGCACGACTGAAATATTTTTGTGTAAGGATTTTGAGTAACGTTTACGCGGTGAGAAAAACGTGATTGATTATCATCTCAGTTTGTTAACACAGTTTGAGTTATTGCATGTAACAATTGTGGCATATTCACGGAAAATAGCCATCTAGATAGTGAATATAAGAACAACATAGTTCAGAGAAGAGTCTCTTTTCGGCGGGGAATTCATTCACTTATTTGTACAATCGCATTTATATATAATTATTTTGCATGTGTGTGTGTGTTAACAATAGGACTGTCGAACAAAAATAAAATAAATTTCGGTTAGGGTTACTGTTAACGCCATCAAAGTGTTGGAGAGGGGATGTAAACTAATAAATATTGACAGAGGTTGCGTAATGTGAAATAGGAAGGTAATGGAGACACGTGTTCAAAAAATAAATTATGTAATAGGTATCCTATGGACAGTTGTTAATAAGCAGTGTCATACATCTGCTCTTTTGTTCGGTGTAGAGTGAGTTCTATCAGTTCCATCCAGTAGAGACAAACATGAGATGAATCGTGAGCGCGAAAAGCTCAGTGGTAATGTTCCTGACTGCATCACTAGGTGGCAAGAAATCGAATCATGGGAGAGATATGAGATTTTATTCAAGGGTGATCGCACGCCTTGCAGACTGGTGAGTGCTAAAAAGCAAGAAACCTAGGTACAAGAAATCCTACCGGCTGCTTCTAACCATCTAATAACTGTCATGCATATCTTCAAACAGGCTATTATTATTTGTTGGGGCCCTCAAGACTCTAGGAATCAATGGCTGGAGACAATAGGTGACATGGCTCAAAATCGTTGTCAATGGCCAGCGCAGATGTATTCAGTCTCTGTAATCTTTCATATTCCTTTCTACTTTTATTACCCATTCAGTTTCACTCTTATACTTGTCAAACTCTATTGATTCTCTTCACTCATCTTCTTGTCTACCTCTGTGTGCTATTTGGAACGTGGCAAGTTGAACTGGTGCACTTCGGTGCCAAGTTTTATGTTGAATCCAGACAATGATGCATATTATTTGACACTGAGCAACGTTAGTTGACATTGCATTAGGTTGGAACACAGTGAAGAGTGGTCAAACAGACGTAATTTGGAAAACAATTCAGCGCTTCGGCGTGCAATGCTCGAGTTTTCATCAACCACATTCAACAGCTATATGACAGTGGCACCTGTCAGGTGATCCTCAATGGAAAACTCAGTCAGGCTTTTGAAGTACATATGGGAGTAGGACACGGATGTATATTGTGACCGATGATTTTCTTAATTGTGGCAGACTAGAATACGCTGGAAAACCGACAACAAGACTCTAGAAGATCTAGATTTCGCGCGTGGATGATTTATGCTTAATGTCACTCAAACGTGAAGATTGACAGGCGAAAACCGACAAACTGGTTGAAGAGTCTGGCAGCGAAGACAAGATTTAAAGTGTACACTTAGAAGACGGAGTGGATGAAGATAGCCAACGAAGTGCAACAACCAGCACCTATCACCATCAACGGGAGAAATTTAACCCTGGTTACCTTCTGCCTTCACTTATCTAGGAAGCATTGTTTCACCCCAATCAGTCGGAACGGATGAAGATATCAAAATCAGTCAGAATCAGAAAGGCCTCCATGTGCATCCATCAGTTCACCTACTGTTGTGGAGCAAGGTACATTGGCCGTAGTCAGAGAATGCTCTCCACACGGATACGAGAACATATTCCAGCTTGGTTTTACAAGGGAGAAAGGAAATGTGTGCGAAGCTCTATCCTAGAACACCTCATCGACTTCTGTCACTCGGTCAACCCTGACCATGATTTCAAGGTCATATATAGAATTCATGCTAACTTCCCGCGTTTTCTTCGTTACAAACTTCTAAAGGCAGCTGAGGCCTTGGCAATTCATGACTTTAAGCCAGACCTTTGTGTACAAAACAAGTATGTACAATCCCTACTGCTGCCTTGGCCGTAGAGGGATAGACATTTATTTATTTAGTTATTCTATGTACTTTTCCCTTATTACTTCAATTATTTTTATTATTATTATTATTACGACTCTCATTCTGAATCTTTTCCACTTGACTTACTTGACATTTTAAACCAAAAATTATTCATGTGTATACTTTTTATCTTTATTTTTACAATATTAAATTCTATGTTATCAAATTTCACACCATGTTACGTAACATTTTACATTCGTCTATTAATCTTACAATTATATGCCTCTCCCCAAAATCTGTACATCTGATGTATTATCTTATATATGACATTAATTATTGTTCCACTTGACTTAAACTATGAATTTTAAGATTTTTTGATTTTTGATTTACAGCTTGATTCCACACTGTATTTTTGGTACAAGTATGGAATTTTCAGCATGGATATCGGTAGCCCAAATTTTGCAGGCCGACCATAGATATCAGGTGTGCACCGGCGTGGGCTCGAACCCCGGACCATGTGCATGGTCGGTGAGAGTCCTAACCACTGTGCCACCAACGCACTGAATATAATCACAAATATCCTGAATTTATTTCATACTATTATTATTTCATGTATTTACACCTTTGACCTAATTTCCTCACCGGATATAATTTCTTTATAAAACCATATACATATACGATTGTACAGCTTGATAATAAACGCGTTGAAAAGAGTCTCATCGCTGAAAATTGTGTTCTTAAACCTTATATTTCGCTGACTTATAGATAGTTATTGTTTTTCCCTTAGGATTGGAATGGGAAATTTCCATTTCGTCCTGTTTACTCTAGTCCTTATATGCTGCTCCCACGATTTACTGAAAGCCTTCATCACCCACCTCTCACTCTCAGTATTCATTTAACTTGAATTTTCATCCTGTTCTTTTTTCTCACTCTGTTTTGTTTTGTTTCAGCATATTGCAAAACTTCTTAGGAAGAATCGTTCACCAAAATCTCAACCAACCACCAGTAAACGTTCAATTACTTTAGCTCAGAGGAGTAAAACCTCTGTGGTTATGCAATCCACTGGAAGTACACCAGTGTCTAGTATACAACGAACATCTTTAGTTCCAGCAGGTTCTACAACAATGCAAACTGGTGTTCATAACACTGCCGTATCGACTACAAGTATGCGACCGTTAAGTGCTGAGTCAATCCAACGTGGAAGTATTATTCATCTCATAAAAGGGAAAAGTTGATGTAAATTATTGGTGAATTCAAGAAATAAATGCCCCCACCCCACCCCACGCAGCTATAGCAATGTACTAAAAACAGCGATAGAAAGATTTCCCTCAACCCCGTATTTTTCTTGTCAAGATATCAATGTTTTTCTTTTTCAATCATAAAGAAACTAAGCATTTACAAAGAAACATCGATCTGCTAATCCAGAAAGAGTGTTACTGGTTTATTTGTTTTGTACGCGAAGTTTTGTTTTATTGAATATCAATATATATATATATATGTACATGCTGTTTTAAATAAAATGTCCTTCTTTGAAGAAGTAAACAAATGATTGAAAGGTAATTGCGGGTGTCTGTTGGTTTTATTGTAATATCAGAAGAATAATGCTATTTAGATGTGTGCTGCAAATAAGAATTCGTTGCGGGGAAACGTATTCCTCAAAATATAAACTTGAAGAAAAGACTTGATTTATGAATCTTTTCGTGATCTGAGTTCATACCAGCATCAGTCGGAGAATCATTAAGAACATAGGACGGCTGAAAACTGTTGAAAATGCTTACAAAAGTACATGGTTAAAATATCAATCTGTAGTTTATTGACGGCTACTGAACGGATGTTATGAAGCTGTTCTGAGAAGTTGTGGTCAATGGAATCCACAGTTTCATTGTGAAATGGACAGTCATTGATGTCCATAACACAAAACCAATCAATTGGAATTCATGGTCCAACGGGCTTTCCAGTATCAGCCACCTTTGTTGGTTCAATTGTTCTCTTACTGACGTTGATTCCTGATGAAATTTATACTAAAAAAGATAGACTGAATGCCAAGTAATCCATAACGGGAAATTCACAGAATCCTTCGAAGAAGTAAAGATGGGAGTAAAACAAGGAAGGCTTGCTACCTACTATCTCCAATGATTTTCCTAATTACGGTAAAACGGATAACGCGACAGACAGCGATGGGCAGCGAGGGTACAGATATAAAAAAGATCCACACAAAAACCTAGAGGATCTGATATATGTCTGATTTTCCGCAAACTGGAAGATAGGACTTCAGGTGAACGTGGGGAAAACAAAGATGACGAAGATTCGTGGCCAACAGCAACAATAACAGACGACAATCAACATAAGTGAGAGAAATCTGAAAGAAAGAAAACTTCTTTACCCAACGGTCTGGGAACCACAGTCTCAACTACAGGCGGACGGAACTGATGAAGATATCGAAGCAGCAAGGATCAAGAAAGCAAGGTAAGCTTTCATTACTCTCAAGTTTGTGTGGAGATCAACAGCACTTATCAGCCTGAAAATGAAAATACGATCCAGATTTTCAACTTCAATGTGAGGTCATTCAGTGCTACTCTACCCAGATCAGAGACTTTGCACCGTGTCGCGTCATGCGGGTCACTTCGAACAAACTAAAGTCCTTCATCAACAGCTGTCTTCGCAAAAAACTACTCAAGATCAGATGACCAGCCAGAAAACATCAGCAGCAGGGATCTCTGGGAGAAAACCAACCAGGAACTGATTTTGCAACAAACATACAGGAATAAATGGAGGTCGACTGCAGTGTGGCCATACTCTGAGAAGACAAACCACCAAGTGAGTGGCATCACACCCCAGGCCATCACACAAGAGGAACCCGACCGAATGGGAAATGGCGAGTTAGTGGGTTGTCACTAAGTAATTAGACAATTCACTCAATGGTTTAATTTTATTAGCTAACCAAACTTTTTAAACGCTGTTATTTTTACACACAATATTATCAACCTGAAACTGTATTCAAACAGTTTGCAAATAACTCGGTCTCCGTGATTGGACGATAGTAACTAGTGTGACGTGTCTAGTCCTCTCTTTGATGCAGACTGATTTCTGTCAGTCAGGTTTGCAATGTGGCCGCAATTGTAGGTAGCTCGCCATCATGGTGCACATTGATTTGATGATATTAGATGATAGTTGGAGGCAGTCAGCCACAGGAAGCATTGACTGCCCTAGGTTTCGCGCTAGTCAGCACTCACCAGTCAGTCAGCAAGGCGTATCCGCAACCTTGAAGGAACTCTTTTCTCTTCTGAGATTCAAACCCGCGTCACCAGTGTAACCTGCAGTCACAGACGTTACTACTGAGCTATTCGGGCTCGCTATTGGCGTTTGTAGGACTGTGTTGGATATCTTTGATTAAACATTAGTCAGTATCTAGTATAATGTATCCAGTCATATCTTCGGTGCAGACTGAATTTTATCAGTCAGGTTTGTAATGTGCCTATCATTCTAGGCAGCTCGCCATCACAGTGTACATTGATTTGATGATATTAGATACCCACTACAGTCCTACAGGAGGTCAATTGCGAGCTCAAATAGCTCAGTAGTAACGTCTCTGACTGCAGGTGGCACTGGGTGACGCGGGTTTGAATCTCAGAAGAGACATGAGTTCCTTCAAGGTTGCAGATACGCCTTGCTGACTGACTGGTGAGTGTCAACTAGCACGAAACCTGTGTCAGGTAAGACTTCCTGTTTCCGATTGCTTCCAAGTATCTAATATCACCAATTCAGCTTCTTATCAGTTTAATGTAAATGAAACACGCAGTTAAGCGAAGAGGCTAGTTGCGACGAATTCCTTTTTCTTCTCTATCTGCATAATCGCATTTAATATGCAATCTTTTTTATTGTCAAAGAGGGTAGTCACAAAAGTGACGAGTTGTCGCTAACACACAGTTATTATTATTGGTCAATGCTTAAAGAGAGTTGAATAAGTGTTTTATAATAGGATGAATAATTGAAGCGACCCACCCCTTGCTTCGTATCAAGATTCCACTCGAAAAAGTGCCTGCAATGGTCGCTATATCATTCGACGGCCTCCACAGCGTATGCCCGATCCATCTCCACTTTCTCCTTCATATCTGTCAGGCAGTCAGCTCTTGGTTGGTCTGTTGCCAACTAGAGTTTGTTGTTGACAATTCTTTCTGGCCATCTGGCCGGGCATTTGATGTTCAGTTTGGAGCCAGCCAGTGAAGGTGGCAGATGTTGATGTTACTCTGTAACTTGTTGGAAATGCTTTTTGTGACGTGCAGTGCAAGTTTCTGACGCGTAAAGAAGAAAAGACTTAACATATGTGTTGAACAAAATCCAAATCTATTCTATGTTATAACCCGTTGCCAATTTGTTATAACTGAAGTGAATTGAATAAATCCGTTTGCCAACTTGTTAGGTCTGCGCCTGTTAATTACTATATCAATAATGTACTCGAGTGGTACGCTAATACGTCTCTCTGTTCAACGTACTTTCCAATTCACTGAGCCACACAAATATCACAAGACAAAGGCTGCCCTGTGACTGTAAGATACTGTATCTTAATTAGGCAAATAATACATCATATTCACAAATTTTCTTTACCATAATAAAGTCGGCTCACAACTTTAGGAATGTATTATTCATATTAGATATATCTTTCCTGATTGTTTGACGATCCGACAAAGGCCAAGGTGAGATGAAAGACAATCAGTTGATCACACATTAAATCGCAATATGCGTCAAAATTGATACATTCACAGAGTAACTCCATCACAAGAAAAATCTCAGGATTAGGGAGAAAGGATGATATGCTACTTTATGTACACTCCTTTCATTCTGTCTCGTTTCAAGCTGATGAAGGTGTATCTTAGCTTTCTAATACTTGGATTTACGTGGCTTTATCATACAGCCGGCTGTTAAATGAGTTTCATAAATTTTTGCGCATTGCATGGTGTAATGTTAAAGCACTATCCAAATCAATTCCAGATCAAGGCTATCTATCGAAAGCCTTCTCAGAGTCGATGAACTTGAGGTAGAGGTTTGACTGCCGTATTATCCTTTGTTCGATGACGATGTGTAGAGTTGTAATTTGATCAGCACATGATTTGACTTTCCTGAATCCAGCTTGTTCTGGTTGGTGGGGTGGAGTTCTGCATCCAGTGCATTTTCAATTCTCTCCATGATGACGCGACTCAGTTTTTTACCTGGCACAATTCCACATTATTCAGTTCTTGCAGGATGAGGCGTAAGTCTTTTTCTTCGGTAGCTTGACAAGGTAGTCAGCCTTTCATTCAATCGGCAAGCACCTTTCCTTCATTCTAAACCTTTTACAATACTATCGTGAGCATATCTGCCTCAGACTATGAGTCTATTTTTAGTGCTTCAGGCTAGGAGTGTTCTGTCTAGCTCTGCTGCCTTCCCGAGTGAACTTCAGCAGCTTGATCGCATTCAAGATTTCTGTTTCATTGGAGAATTGGTGTCCACTGGCAGGCAGTTCTGTGATTGCTGTTGTTGGTGGCATTTCTGGTCGAGTCACTGGTGACGGTCGCTTTAAAAGTTTTTTGAAGTGATCAGTCCACTGTTTTATTCGTTTCTCCTCTATGGTAATTAGGCTTCCTTGAAAATCTTTTACAGGTTTTATCACTTGTGTTGATCTCCTGCAGGATTGATACCTGATTATCTTAAATAATATAATGAAACTGAGTGTCCTGATTTCAACAGATGGTCTTTTGCCAAACTATAAACACACCTACGTTCTTTCTTTGCTAGTTAGTCTGGGTAATGTTCTAAAGTTCACTTTCGTTGTGCTGATAGTGTTGCATTTCCCAGAACCCATAAAACAAAGTAATAAATATATCTAGTGAAAAAGAAAAACGTGTAGTTCAGCGAAGAGTCTCTTTTAGGTGGCGAATTCATCAACTTAGCCGCACAATTGCAATTATATATACTTATCTCTGTATTTGTGTGTACATTAGGCTCATCCGATAAGATTGAAAATAAGTTAGGGTTATTGTTGTCAAGACATTCCAGAAATGTGATGAATGATCAAACTGTACCGAGGAAGGTGAATATTATTAAGACGGTAGTTGCTGTCAAATTAACATATTTAAAATAAGTAGAATAAGCGTAATGCACTTAAGTAATAATATGAGTAGTTTAATGAGTGAGTATTGATTAGAATGCGCATAGAAACAAAAGAAAGTAAGGAACTGTGTAAGAGTTGTGAAGAAAT